TTACCTCATTTAATAAATTGATGAAACTAGAAAAAATTTTAGTAATTTTTTTTTAAAAATATTTGCTATAAATTTTTTTTAGATAAATTAATAAAAATGCAAGACGAAAAAAAGAAGGGGAAGAGAAATGTAATTGCCCCCCGGGGATGGAATAACCTGACAATCAGTAAAAAGATGAGGCATGAATGCATTTGGATTTTGAGAGCAGAGAGAAAGAGAGAGTTCCAGTTGCCGTTCATTTCAACGTATGGTCGCTCTTTTGCCAAGCAATTCTCATTCCCATTTATCACCTCTCTTCCTTTCAGACCTCCTCCTCCTCCTTTCTCAACTGTCCAGTTGAGTTAGTCTCTTTTTCGAAACCTTCAACAAGTTCAAACTCTTTTGGAAGCCTTCCTCAAACATCTTGTTCTCAATCATCATCTCTGTTTCAGAACAAAAAATCTCAAATATTTTTTTAAACATGAAAAAATGTAAGAATTTAAAAAAAAAGAATTTTTTTTTTCTGAGAGTAAAAAAGAAAAAAAAAAGAACAGGAGAGTAATCTTCGCGGGGCGGCACTCATCCGTATATAAAAGTGACGCTCCTTCACATCTCGCTACCTCCCCGTTTAATGAGTCGTGTTGCCCACCTATACCACCGACTATTAATAATGCCGAAAAGAAAACTGCCACACGATTCACGAAGAAACATTTCGCGTTAACCTTTCCGTACGAGATTTCGGTCCATGAAACATCGACCCTTCCAGGAAGCTGCGCGGCTTATCAGTCCTGATCGGCGGTCGGCCTCTCTCTCACAATCAATACTTAGCTTAATAATGAGGCACCGGTATTCCGGACATTTTTTTTTTTTTTTTAATTTATTGTTAATTCACCGTTTTCTTCTTCTCCCCTGCGGAAATTTCGGCTAATAACAGCCCTTGGAAGAAACAATACTCCTCCCCTTTTTTTTATAAACGTTACTGTCATAAAAATTTTTCTTACTGATGAAAGTAAAAAAAAAATTCCTATGATTTTTGTTTTTTTTTTTTATTTCACCCCTCTTTTGCCGGGTCATTTATTCATTGCATCGCACCACAGCCATTGTCGATCTCGTCCTTCTCTGAGCGTCGAGGACGACAAGCGCATTGTGCCATTCTCGCGCGTGACATTTGACACGACGATAAATAACGCAATCTTGTAATCGCACTCGACTGGCATGAATCGTGTCCAGACAGTGAAAAAAAAAAGTTCACAAAACGATTCAATGCGCCAAAGATTTGAAAAACCGGATGCGCGCGCAACCTAGTTTCACTGACGCCACATACAGATGGCGCAGGAAATGAACTGCCTTACCGAAGGAAAACTAAATACTACCTTCAAACTCAATTATGGGGAAAAAAGTCAAAGCAGCTGATAATGACAACTGGCTCATATATGTATACGTCTCGAATATATATATATATACAAATGATATCTTATGAAGAAGCAACTTATTCACAACATGTTTTAACACGTTTTACCTTGCGTCTCATTCCTCTAGTTTCTTTTCTTTCTCTATATTCCCGTTTCTTTCTCTCTCATATATATATACGATTCTCTCGTATATATATACTCATCACGTGCCTTTTACATTCTCTCTCTCTCTCTCTCTCTCTGTCTTTCTCAGTTCACTCGCGATGCCGCGCGCTCTTATCTCGAAAGTGCATCATTACTCAGTGACCAATGCCAGGGGACCACTAAAAAATCATCAGCAACATTTGCCCATTACCGTCCCTCTATATACCACATAGGCACCCTCCGGCATACATATACTGGGCAATACGATTACCTTTCAGTGGCAATATCGTGAAGGTGACCAGGATATTTCTCCTTCCGGCGAGGTTCGACCTTCGACGCGCGCGTTCCATACACCCATATATAAGATCGATGGTTCCGACTTAATGAAACTTTGCTTCGTGCGACTTTATACTTTCGCATTCATCAACATTTTCATCTTTCTTTTTTTTTTCAAAACCTATATATATATTGACAGTCGCACATATCGTGTTATTCTTGAGTGCGGATATAATTTTTTAATTAACACATAGTTACGGTTATATTATTGTATTTTTGGATTAATAATTGGTATAATGTCTAAATATTTATAACTTTATAATTTTTAAGATTTCGTGGTCCAGGGCTTTGGCGTCCGTCCGTCCTTTCATGGCAATTGTTACCATGAAAACCTTTACCATGGTAACCGTTTCCGTCAACATAGCAACCGTTGCAATAGCAATCGTTTCTATAACAATCGCTTCCATGACAACTGTTTCCATGGGAATCGTTTCCATGACAACCGTTACTATGGACAGTTAGTTACTAGAGCAACAGTTATACTATGGATAGTTAGTTACTAGAGAAACAGTTACTATGGCAACAGTTAATTACTATGGCAAAAGTTAGTTACTATGACAAAAGTTACTATGGCAAAAGTTAGTTACTATGGCTACAGTTACTATGACAAAAGTTAATTACTATGGCAAAAGTTAGTTACTATGACAAAAGTTACTATGGCAAAAGTTACTATGGCAAAAGTTAGTTACTATGGCTACAGTTACTATGACAAAAGTTAGTTACTATCACAAAAGTTACTATGGCAAAAGTTACTATGGCAAAAGTTAGTTACTATGGCAAAAGTTAGTTACTATGGCAAAAGTTACTATGGCAAAAGTTACTATGGCAAAAGTTACTATGGCAAAAGTTAGTTACTATGGCAACAGTTACTATGGCAAAAGTTATTTACTATGACAAAAGATACTATGGCAAAAGTTACTATGGCAAAAGTTACTATGGCAAAAGTTACTATGGTAAAAGTTAGTTACTATGGCAAAAGTTACTATGGCAAAAGTTATTTACTATGACAAAAGTTACTATGACAAAAGTTAGTTACTATCACAAAAGTTACTATGGCAAAAGTTACTATGGCAAAAGTTAGTTACTATGGCAAAAGTTAGTTACTATGGCAAAAGTTACTATGGCAAAAGTTACTATGGCAAAAGTTACTATGGCAAAAGTTACTATGGCAAAAGTTAGTTACTATGGCAACAGTTACTATGGCAAAAGTTATTTACTATGACAAAAGATACTATGGCAAAAGTTACTATGGCTACAGTTACTATGGCAAAAGTTAGTTACTATGGCTACAGTTACTATGGCTATAGTTACTATGGCTATAGTTACTATGGTACTTGACAATGAGCGAAACTGCGCATGTGCGAATGAAACGACGAGACTTTTTATGATAAATATTCCTATACAGCATCCATCCAGTATGGCATTTTTTTTTCTTTTTTTAAATCTCTCTCTTCAGAAAATAAAAAAAACTATAATCCATTATCAATATATAAAAGATATATATATTTATGGAAATGTCAACTTCCATAAGATCGCTTGATTAATATATACAATATTGGATAGAGAAAAATAAGTTATTCTCAAGACCACACCATAAGGTTGTGACGACTATTTTCACAAGTTGGAAGTAATCGACCCTAATGGATCATTGTTAATGATACATATATATATATTGCAGACACATTATAACGAAGCCAGAAATACTTCGCGCCACATAAAATAATAAAGTCCCAAAGTAGAGACGATATTTCTTTTCTTTTTTTTTTTGCACTCTGGTTTTGAAGACGAAGAAAAATCTTGTGCTCCCTCGCATATATGATTTAGAGATGCATGATTGATTATGCACGTCTTTTCAAGTCTCGAGACACGTAGAAATAAATGATAAAGGGTGACCGCGCGCGCTCTCAATGGAAGACGGCCTGATTCGAAATATGTGCTCTTGAAAAAAAAAAAAAAATTATGACAACCTAATAAATCGTTTTCGTTCACGTATATATATAAAGAATGAAATTTACGAAAGTATTCTGATGTGTGAATCTTCAAATTTAATGAGTTTATAAATTTTTTCATGTTAATTTTATTTCAACGGAAAATAAAATTTTTTTTTGGTTATGTTTCATGGTTGCGTGCGCAACTATTCGCGCCTGCGTAGTTTGGTAGTTTTTCAAATATTTTTCTTTATATAATATATATTATTTTTATGATTAAAAAAAATAATTTCTTTTTTGAAAATTATTCATATTGAATTTTACTTTTTGTTGGTGCCTTTGTTTAGTTTTCTTTGTTCGGGGGTCAAAATTGGTTTGATGTGTGGGATACCAATTTGTGATGTGAATGAATGAGAAAAGTTGCAAGGTGAAGGTGGTGGTTTCACCGCGCGGTCTCTCATGCATGAGATCCTATATATATATATATACTATGCCTATGGGGCCCGCAAGGACCTCGGTATTGGTCGTCATGGGATGAGATGCGTAAAAGATGAGAAGTCGAGGGCGTGGCTGCCTTCGGAGTTTCGAGTTGCACAGGCCACAAAGCAAAAGCCGCTGTAAAATCCAAGGGGCCAAACTGTGTGTAATGCATATCGCTCTCCTTCTGCCACATACTCACTATATATAGATATATTCCCCATATAGCAACTCTACAATCATAGCAGGCGTTCATAAACATAAAATTTCGAAAAAATTTTTTTTTTTTTAGATTATATAAAACAAAATTTTTTATAAAAATTAAGTTTATATAATAATTTTTGATAATTTTTAATTTAAAATAATTTTTTTCTTATCACACCAAGAGGGAATGAAAAAATTTACACTTTCATTAGTAATTTTCCAGGGAACATTAATAAACAGATTATTATGGAATCATGACGCATGCAATTAATTATGTATTAGTGGGTGTCTTAGGAAAATTATACATTTTGGCAAATATTCATAATGTCACAAATGTTAATTTTTCACTTTAATTATTCAGTAAAAATACTAAATTTATTCGATTGAAATTCTAGTGAAAAATTTTCAAATATCTTATCATATAACATTAATCACATGTGTAGTTAAAGTATACAAATAAATATTCAAATATTCTCATTGGGAACAATGTATGAGAATGTATATAGAATCTTTTTTTCAGTGCTATTTAATTTCATTTACAGTTTATCTTTGCTTCATCACACTCATCATTAATTGTTGCTAAACGAATATAAAATACTTATTTTTAATTTTGAATTTTTCAATATAATACACTTATGTTGCAAAAAATGAATATAGAAGATAAAGTTGCGATAGAAACTAATAATGATAAAAAATTTTCATTAAAAGAAGAATGGAACAGTTGGATAAAGCATTTAAATTGGCCATTTACTATTTTTCATATAATTAGTCATATTGTTGCATTATATGGATTTTTGACATTTCCATATTTAACACATAAATTGACAGCATTTTGGGGTTATTCTTCTTTTTTAAATTCAAAAAAATTGAATGTAGTTTTTGATATATTTGAAAATTATTTATTAATTTTCTGTTTTTATTTTTATAGCTTATGCTTATTATATTTTTGCTGGTTTTGGAGTAGCTGCTGGTGCTCATCGTTATTGGACACATCGATCTTTTAAAGCTAAATTACCCTTTCAAATAATATTGGCTGCTGGCTACTATTCTACAGGCATGGTAAATAAAAAAAATTTTTTTTGAATTAGATTCTACTATATAAATTTACTGAGAAAATTGATTCCAAAATTTTTTTTTATTTAGTTTCAATTGCGACGATGGATTAAATTGCACAGAATTCATCATAAATACACTGATACCGATTCAGATCCGCATAATATAAATCGTGGATTTTGGTTTGCACACATTGGATGGTTTTTATTACCAAAACATCCGGAATTTTTAAAAAAATTAAAAGAAATTGATATGAGTGATATTAATGCTGATCCAGTAGTGAATTTTGGTGATAAGTATGATTATCTTTTTTTTATATAAAATAATAAATTTTAATAAAAGTTATATACCCAAGAGAAATTTTTTTTATTTGCATATAAAATTTATTTTAATTTAATAAAAATATATTTGTTGCAGAGTCTAATAACATTTTGTTTTAATTAAAAATATTTATGTAGAACAAATAAAATTTCATTAAGCAAATAAAAAATTTAATTACACAAATATTTATTTGAAACAAATATTTATTTCGCTCTGAGACAGATCCTTTTTCTGGGTGTATATATACAACTTTTTAAAAATTGTAATTCATTGATCATTTTAATTTATTTCTTAAAGGCACTTTGTGATTTTAACAATTCTCCTTACGTTTATTTTACCAACCGTTGTGCCAGTATTTTTATGGAATGAAACTTGGTATTTGGCAATAATTTCCCAATGTTTTATGCGCTATAATTTTGTAATAAATGCAATATCCTCTGTTAATAGTGTTGCACATATGTTTGGCTACAAGCCTTATGATAGGTAGGTTCAAAAATTATTAATTAAATTAAAACAAAGAATTTTATTTTAATTTGTGATAATTTAGAAGTTATAATAAAAATTATTATATAATAACAGAACGATACAGCCAAGAGATAGTAAATTAGCTCAATTATTGACACAAGGAGAAGGTTGGCACAATTTTCATCATACATTCCCTTGGGATTATCGTGGTGGTGAAGTTTCAAAAATTGATTTTAATTTTTCTCTGTATTTGATTAAAAAATTTGAACAAATTGGATGGGTCTATGATTGTAAAATAGCAAACAATGAACTTATTCGAAGTGTAATGGATAAAAGAGGCGACGATAGCTATAAATTGTATAAATAAAAATTTTTTAAAATTGAATTTTCCAAATAGAAAATTTATAACGCAATAACTATTACATTATGTATTAATTTATTAAAGGGATGTGCGAAAGCTAATGTGTATTAAATAACAATAACTATGGATTATATCCTAAAACATCTTACTACTATATAAAAAATCCAAAAAACTTCAACATTTTTACTATACTTAATTTATTAAATTTCGACAAATTTATTATTTTTATATAGAAAATAATAATTCGAAATAAATTGCAGAATTTATTAAGAATTTTCATTCTTGTTTTAAGTTTTGTTTCTATGATCACTTTTTTATAATTTTATTGTAAATTGTAAAATTAATTTGTAATTTTTTTTTCATTTACTATTATTTTATTCATTCTATATGTAAATGAATATAAAATTGTTTTTTTTTCGATTAAATAAATAAAACTTGTATAGAAATGTTTTTCCTTCTTTTTTTTTTTTTTTTTTGGTTTATTATCAATGTAATGAGTCTTGAAATCATTTAAGATATCATCGCATTAGGTTGTCACACGGTCTAAGTAAACGCATCTATACTTAATCGACTTGGCACGACAAGTATATGTACTTGGGGCTCGTTCATAGAATTGTACTGTGTGTTCCTTGAGGTCTCATGCTCATTTAATGAGCCACATCAGATAGGCACTAGTCGCGAAGGACGTATTTCTTTAGGATTGGAATTTTCTGGAAAAATTCATCAGGAAAACGACACGGCATACCTTTTGCCATTGACCGCAATGGAATATAAAATATTCCTTGATTTATTTTCCCGTGATTTATTATTATTGATAAATCTTGTAAATTTATTAGAAAATTCTCCAAATTTCAAATGAATTAATTTTTTTTTTTTGCAAAATCGATTTTATGAAAACATAGACAATTGTCAGTGATTAAAATCGAAATTATCGTAAAATTGAAATACTTAAATGACTTATGGTTTACTGATAAAAGCATATATGAATATTTATGATATAATTTAATTCGAGAATATCGTTGTATTTTAAATGCGCTTTTGAATATGCTTTTGTTTCCATGAGAAATTTAATTGAATTATTAACCCTATCATTATATGCTTCCTTTTCAAACCTGTGGAAATTTATAGCATTGCATAATATATACATATATATATAGTCTTTTAATTTTAATTATATATTATATGCACAAAACCAAATATAATGGGATCTAACGATATATATATATATATATATAATTCTCTATATTATGGGTAAATAAATATACTAAAAAGAGAATTTCATTTTCCAAGTCTGAATTAACATTTATTTGTACATATATAATTTATTTTCAAAAAAAACCTCAACACTATGAAATTTCACGAGTTAAAATTTAATTTCAATTTTTAGCTGTGACATATCGATTATAACGGAATTAAATAATAAATATTGAAAATGTATAATAATTTATAAAAGTTTTTTTAATAAAAACCAATAAATAGTAATAGAAGAAAATAATTGTTTGATAATTTTGCATTAAATTGAACATTTATAATAATAATTGATATCAATAATATAAATTGTCTAAAACGAGTTTTTAAATATAAGTGCGTTAATAAAACAGAAAATTTATTCATTATTTCCATTTAAATTGCAATTTTCAATGCACTTTCATTAAATTAATTTTAAATATTATTGTAGAATTATGATAATTTCCGTCAATTTGTATATTTTCCTTTTTTTCCTTTTCAACTTTAACTGGAATTTAGAATCTTATTATAGAGTCATATTTACTGAATTATATGTAAAAATTGTCTTTTTTTTCCCCCTTTAAATTTAAAAGTGTCATAAAGAAAATGAACCTGTTACAATTATTAAAATGTGTATTTCCCAGCATTTATGTTTTATAGTTTCCTTATAACATAACTGTTAAACATTTAGCGGTACTCGTATAGTGACATTTATAATAAAGACCAGATTATAGTTAATTCATTAACCTGTTTTTTAATTTAAAATGTATATTCTTGTTAGTTTATTATTTTCGTGTTATTTAGAATTTTTTTGTTTTTAAAATTAATAATGTTTCTAGTAGCAAAACAAATTTTTTTTACCTATTTAATTTTAATATTTTAAATATTAATTATTAACTAATAAAAGTGCAGTTATTTGAAAAAAAAGTCTAGTTATAAATATTTAAAAGATATTAGTGAATTATTTTTAATTTAAAAAAAAAAAACATTTTAAGTGTCGTAAAAACCAGTTAATACTTATTTATATTCGTTTTTAAGTTTACGTATCATCAGTTTACATTTGTTTCTCTTAGTGTGAAATTGTTTGAAATATAAAAATTTTGAAAAAAAAAATGGATGAAAAAAATAATATCGCTACAGAAACTACTAAATTTTTATTGAAAAAAGAATGGGACTGGATAAAATATTTAAATTGGCCATTTGTTATTTTACATTTTATTTTTCATACTGTTGCCATTTATGGAATTTTAACGTTTCCTTATTCAACTCATAAATTGACAGCTTTTTGGGGTATTTTTTAAAAATTATTTTTGGTGTTCAATTTCTTTTTTCAATGAAATGAAATTATTTTATTTTTTTTTTATTTGCAGTAAATTGTCATTTTCTTCTTTTTTTTTGTTAAAGCGTACTTTTATTTTATTTTTAATGGTTTTGGAATAACCGTTGGTGCTCATCGCTATTGGACACATCGATCTTTTAAAGCTAAATTACCCCTTCGATTGATTATGGCTGGTGGCTACTATTCTGCAGGTCATGTAAATATTACTTTTTTTTATATTTTTCTGAATTTTCTTTTTTTTTTGTTTTTTCAGTATTATTGTAAATTAAAAAAAAAAAATTATACCTACATTTAAAATATTTTAAGGAACTTTTTTTTCGATTTCGTGTAACGTAATAATTTTCATGTTCTTTTAAGTTTAAACTACGACATTGGATTAAGTTACATAGAACACATCATAAATACACCGATACTGATGGTGATCCACACAATGTGAATCGTGGATTTTGGTTTTCCCATATAGGATGGTATCTATTACCAAAACATTCAGAATGTTTAAAAAGATTAAAGGAAATTGATATGAGTGACATAAATGCTGATCCGATTGTCACATTCGGCGATAGGTAAAATTTCATTTCATTTTTTTTGCACTCTATATTTTAAAATAATCAAAGGAGGAGGGCCCCTAAAGCCTATATTTCGCTTCCTTGGGATTTTAATTTAAATGCGGTTGAAAACTTTTTCTTACAGTAGAAAAAGTAATTTTTCATTGATTTTCCAAATGTTAAGCAATTGGCTTGAAAATCGTTGCTCGAGGGTTTTCGGGGTCGCTGATTACGAATCCGACGTTAGTTTTCAAAATTCAAAATGGCGGATCCAATATGGCGGATGACTTTTTGAAAATCTAATATTATTGGCCTGAAAATTGTTACTCGGAGGATTCGTAATCAGCGACCCCGAAAACCTCCGAGTAACAATTTTCAGGCCAATAATATTAGATTTTCAAAAAGTCATCCGCCATATTGGATTCGCCATTTTGAATTTTGAAAAACTAACGTCGGATTCGTAATCAGCGACCCCAAAAACCCCCGAGTAATTATTTTCAGACAAATATATTAAGTTTTTTCAAAAGTCGTTCGCCATATTGGGTCAGCCATTTTGAATTTTGTAAAACTCTCGAGCAACGATTTTCATGCCAATTGCCTTAGGGCTCCTCCTTTTCTTGTTTCTGTTGAAAATAATTTTGAATAGATTACAAAAATTTTAATTAGTTTAGTAGTTCAGTTAAGATTTTTTTTTTATGAATTTCTTTTTTTTTGTTAAAATTCAGTCTGTAAAAAAAAATATTGATATTTTTTTGGCTCTAAATTAAAATTAGTCATAATTTGTTAGAATTTTGTAATTTTGTAATTATTAATTTTTAATTAATTAATTATTTTAATTTAATTACTTATTTCTTAAAGGCACTTTCTGATAATAACAATTTTTATGGCGTTCATATTACCAACAATTGTACCAGTATTTTTATGGAATGAAACTTGGTATTGGGCAATTATTTCACAATGTTTTATTCGCTATATTGCAGTTGTAAATGCATCTTCCTCTGTTAATAGTTATGCACATATGTTTGGATCCAAACCATACGACAGGTTATATATTTTATTTGATAAGATAAAAAAAAAAATTTCTAAATACAATTTATTTATTTGGATTCTAAATTCAAAAAAAAAATCGATTTTTAAACAGAACCATAAAAGCCACCGACAGTAAATTTGTTCAAATTTTCACTTTTGGAGAAGGTTGGCATAATTTTCATCATGTATTCCCTTGGGATCATCGTGCTGGTGAAATGGCAAAAATTGACTTTAATGGTAGTTTATATTTAATTAATCAATTTAAAAAAATTGGATGGGCCTATGATTGCAAAACAGTAAGCAATGAGATGATTCGAAAAATTGCTGAAAGAAGAGGTGATGGAAATTATGAATTATGGAAAGAAGTGTCAGAAGAGGAAAATTATTAAAGTATTTTTTAGAAAATATATTGAAATATGATTATAACTAATTATTATAATAGAGAATTTATAATTATATATTTGATACTAGGAAATAAAATAATTAAACTCTTTAAATTATATTATAAATTTATAAATAAATTTACATAATATAACAAAAAAAACAATTATGCGCAGAAGGAAAAGGAAGTATCTTGTATAACATTGTGTGAATCAATTTCGATGAAAAATAATGATATTGACCCATGTTTATGACAAAAAGAAAAGGTCAAATATTTTTTTTTTTTTTTGAAAAGCGAAGAAACATTGTTATATGCTTATGAATGTAAATTTTTTGTTTAAATGCATAATGAATGGAATATATTTTACTCTACAATTGAGATTTTTTTTTAAATATAATTAAACTTTGAAAATCTAATGTTAATTGTGAGAAATGCTTGACAATGAAATGCATTTATAAAACAATGTTTAAAACTAAACCTTTCAAAGCAAATTAAAAACTAGTCATTTGGTGTGAGGATTTGAGTCCTATACGCAGCTTATATGTTTTCGTTGATTCTTTTCAAGAGTTTCTCAAGTTAAGTTCAATATTATAGTAACACAAAAAATTAAAAGGCATTAAAATAAGCTGCAACGCTTATTATTTTAATCCAATTTTGCTTATTTTCATCCAATTTTGATTATTTTAATCCATTTTGATATTAAAATAAGCAAAATTGAATTAAAATAATAAGCGTTGCAGCTTATTTTAATACCTTATAATTTTCTGTGAACAAAGTCGGAAAATATTAATATTGAAGAAAAAAAATTTATTTTATTTAAACAATTAATTATTTGACTATTAACAACTCTTTTAAATTGAATTAGTGAAAAGTGAGCTACTAATTCACATTAGTAAGAATTTTTACTAATTTTTAGTAAAATATTACTATTTCCACAGAAAATTATAAGGTATTAAAATAATAAGCGTTGCAGCTCATTTTAATGCCTTTTAATTTTCTGTGTCATTTAGTAGTTTAAAATTTTGTTTACTAAAGTTTTAGTAAAAAGTAACTAAAAATTAGTGAAAATTCTTACTAATTTAAATTAGTAGCTCAGTTTTCACTAATTCAGATTTAGAGAGAATTTAATTGAATAATTTTTATTTGTTTGAATTTAATAAATTAATTTTTATTCGATATTTAATAAAAATTTACTGAATAAGCAAATTGTATGAAATATTATAATTGCTATAAATAAATATAATAATATAAATATTTGTTTCATAATAAAGTAATTAATTATTTGAATTAAATAATTTTTACAAATATTTTTTTAAAAAAATAAATAAAATTGAAAGTGCATCTAAATATAAAAAATTGTTTATTTAACAGAAAAGTTAGTTAAGATATTTGTATTAGTTATTTGTTACTTTGACATGAAAAATAAAGATACTTTTATAAAAATTAGAATATAAATAAAAGACCAAATTTAAGTAAGTATTAAACATTTTCTTAAATATTTTCATATTCCGCATACTCAAATATTCTAAATGTTACGTTTCTCTAGTGAACTATATTTGACCGAAATTAACCTTTCAAAGTAAATTCAAAACTATAGTCATTTGACTTGGGAATTTGACGTAAGTAAAACTTTAGAATTCACATTTATTGGCGAGGTTTTTGTAAAGTTAAATTCATTTATAGTTCGCCTTTGCTTCACTATACACTAAAATTTAAAGTTGTCGCAAAATAAATATTTTTTTTTTTGTGTTAAAAATAATGAATACAAGTGATAAAGTCACAATAGAAACTAGAGATAGTAAAAAATTTTCATTGAAAGAAGAATGGGACGGTTGGATAAAACATTTAAATTGGCCATTTACTATTTTTCATGTGATTTTTAATATTATTGCCGTTTATGGAATTTTAACATTTCCATATGCATCGCATAAATTGACACTTTTGTGGGGTATGATTTTTTAAAATAGATGAGAGAAAAAATCGTAAATTTATAAACAAATTAATAATTGCCTTTTTTTTTGGTCGTTATTTATAGCTTATTTTTATTATATTTACACTGGTGCCGGAATAACTATTGGTGCTCATCGTTTTTGGACACATCGAGCTTATAAAGCAAAATTACCCCTTAAAATTTTACTTGCCGGTGGTTACTATGGTTCAGGCATGGTAAATATAAAAAAAAATGTTTATAAAAAAATTAAAAAACTTTTTTATTGATAACATTGTCATTTTGTTCAAAGTAACCAAATTTTATATTTGCAACGTTTTTTTTTTTGTCTTAAAAAAAGTATTTGATTCGATTAATTTTTAATCAAAATGTATGAAAATAGTTTTATGTTTAAAAATTTTTTTAATACGTTTAATGATAATAATTTAAATATTTTTAAAAGTTCAGACTACGTCAGTGGATTAAACTTCACAGAATACATCATAAATATACCGATACGGATGCTGATCCTCACAATATAAAGCGAGGATTTTGGTTTGCACACATTGGATGGTTTCTATTACCAAAACATCCAGAATTTACAAAAAGATTAAAGGAAATTGACATGAGTGACATAAATGCTGATCCAGTAGTGAATTTTGGTGATAAGTAAGTAAAACTTTTTTTTTCGCTTTTCTATATATTTCATTAGGGAAACAAATTTTTTTCTCAAAAACTAATAATAAACAAAATTTATAAATAAACAATTTTAATAAACCATTTATTACGCGGTTTGTTTGTTTTTAAACAAAATAAATATTTATTCGATTTTTTGATTAATTTTATTTTGTTTTCATTAATTCAAAAAAAAATTTTACAAATTAAAAATTAGTCATTGGATTTTTTTGAATTGTACAATTTTTTCTTAAAGGTATTTTCTGATTGTAACAATTATGATGACGTTTATTTTTCCCACCCTTGTGCCAGTAATGTTGTGGAATGAAACTTGGTACTGTGCAATAATGTCTCAATGTTTCATGCGCTATATGATTGTGTTAAATGCAACATGCTCTGTTAACAGTGTTGCACACATGTTTGGATCTAAACCCTACGACAGGTCGAATATTATTTCATATAATTAAATTTGAAAATTATAATTATTTTATAATTATTTTCTAATTATTTATAATTATTTATAATTATTTATAATTATTTATAATTATTTATAATTATTTATAATTATTTATAATTATTTATAATTATTTATAATTATTTATAATTATTTATAGTTATTTATAGTTATAATATAATTATAATTGAAAATAATTTTGAAAAAAAATTAATTTTTTTTTAATTTCAATTATAAATGAAAATTTTTTCAATTTTTATACAGAACCATAAGATCAACTGACACAAAATTCGTTCAAATTTTCACTCTTGGAGAAGGATGGCATAATTTTCATCATGTATTCCCTTGGGATTATCGTGCAGGTGAAATAGCAAAAATTGATTTTAATTTTGGTTTATATGTTATTAATCAATTTAAAAAAATTGGATGGGCCTATGATTGTAAAGTGGCAAGCAATGAGCTAATTCGAAAAGTAGCTGAAAAACGAGGTGATGGTAATTATGAATTATGGAAAGAAGTGCCCGAAGAGGAGTATCATTAAAAAAAAAAGAAAGTATATATTTTCAAAATTATTTCATTACATTCATGTAAAATATTTATTAATAAATAAATAAATATGAATACAATTTTTAATATTAATAATAATAATAACACTGAATAAAAAATTTATTTGAATCAAAATAAATTCAGTGTAATTATAATATTTAATAATGTAATATTATTTTTTTTACAATTAAATTAAAATTTTTATCCAATTAAAAAATAGTATTTTAATATATAATTTGTTATTAAAATAATATTACATAATTGTAATAAATTTTTTGGTTAATATAAATTTATTTAGGCAAAAAAAAAAAAAATAGTAAGAGGTGTGGAAAAAACAGAAAGATCGCAAAAATTTGCAATTAAAACCCGAGTATATTGATCAGTTTCGAGCATTCGAGTAAAAGAATTCAATGGATTAAGTATACGTGATGTTCGTATATGTCTCGTTCGATTTCAATATGTGTATATATCTCTCATTTCGTCGTGATTTCGATAAAAAGCAATTAAAGCCACGCGCTCGTAACCGCTATCAAGGACGACGAATCGTTCGTTCGTTTACCTGCCTTTTCTGCTTTTCTTCCTGAACGGGGTGATATCGCGTATATATATATATATACACATAACATTCTCGTATCTAAATCAAAAGGAAGCTTAATGAGCGGCAGATTAACTTCTGGTTAAGCGTCGTCTATATGTGTGCTTTCTCTGAGTATATATATGTTTTACCTCTTCAGTTATCCACATGGAAAAATATTTAGAATTTCCAGCAGTATATACTATAAATATTCGCCATTTTCTTTATACGAATCGTTGAGAATCTTCAAAGAAGGAAATCGATGGGGTTTTTCATTTAAAAAAAATAGTCATTCGTATAGGATAGAAATTCCTCGTGATATATTCATGCGCGTCTATATGCAATTCCTAAACCATGAATTTTCATTTTTTAAACACTGCATATATATATGTATATCTATTTATTATCCGCATCGATACAGCAGCCATATATTTCAAATTTATATACATATATACATTACGATATCATCATCATTTTATCATAATTTGTTTTTATTTAAAATAAACAAATTTGTTTTTTAAATATTAATCCCATGATTTATGTTATTAAACTTATTCCAAATAATTAATTATTAATTATAGTTAATAAAATAATAAAAATAATTATTATAATTTTTATTTTATTATTATCAATCAAATAAAATAAAATTCGAATACAAAAATAAAAAAAAAAATCTGATATATTGAATGGCAGATGGTAGAGGGAAATTTTAGAAATAGATGCGGTTTTTTTTTTTTTTAAAAAGACCGAACCTTAATTTTGCGTGACCACTATATAGTTCGGTTTCGTGGCTTCTTCTTTAGTAATTGAACACCACATAAAGCAATTTGAAAAGCTAGCGCAGAAAATAATAATGTAGCGTTAAAATTATTAGAAGCTACGGTTCTTAACCTGACTTGACTGCTCGGAATTGACCTTCACTAATTTATATAGAAGTGCATGACGCGTAACGCAAGCATGAAAACCGTGTTTTTAAACCTTTGAACTTTTCGGATATACTTCCGAAGTAGGGGTACCTCCGATTTTAATAAAACTTGGTATACTAACGTATTTTGGTGCGCTGATTACGAAAATGATAGTGAAAATTGGCGCAAATTTGATTATCATGGTAAAAACCATAAAAAACACCATAAAATAATGGTTTTTTACGATTATCTCGTAAAAAACAAAAAATTTCGAAAAAAGTTTTAGACAAAAGTTGTAGATCTCAAAAAAACACACATTTTATGTTTTATGCATTTTTTACCAAAAGTCATTATTTTTCGAGAAAAATCCAAAAAACGAAAAACACCATGATAATGAAAACATATACAGCAGTCATGGTTAGACATATTATTTGACTCGTATATAGTATGGGGTACCTTCGATCTTAATGAAACTTGATATACTAACGTATTTTGGTACGCTGATTACGAAAATGATAGTGAAAATTGGCGCAAATTTGATTATCATGGTAAAAACCATAAAAAACACCATAAAATCATGGTTTTTTACGATTATCTCGTAAAAAACAAAAAATTTCGAAAAAAGTTTTAGACAAAAGTTGTAGATCTCAAAAAAACACACATTTCATGTTTTATGCATTTTTTACCAAAAGTCATTATTTTTCGAGAAAAATGGTCCGAAAGTAATTTGCGGAAATTGTGGGGTGGAGTCTACAGCAGCGGTAAATGCAAAATATTAAACACGGCCTTCGGCCGCGTAAGGTACTGCTCGCTTCTCTTTTTAAGAAATCTTGGCGAGAGGGGGTGGATGTGTCCGAAAGTAATTTGCGGAAATTGTGGGGTGGAGTCCACAGCAGCGGTAAACGCAAAATAGTAAACACGGCCTTCGGCCGCGTAAGGTACTGCTCGCTTTTCTTTTTAAAAAAAACCTTGGCGAGAGGGGGTGGATATGGCCGAAAGTATTTTGCGGAATTCGTTAGATTCTGACTAATGGTGAATATGATACTGTATACGAGTCAAATAATATGTCTAACCATGACTGCTGTATATGTTTTCATTATCATGGTGTTTTTCGTTTTTTGGATTTTTCTCGAAAAATAATGACTTTTGGTAAAAAATGCATAAAACATAAAATGTGTGTTTTTTTGAGATCTACAACTTTTGTCTAAAACTTTTTTCGAAATTTTTTGTTTTTTACGAGATAATCGTAAAAAACCATTATTTTATGGTGTTTTTTATGGTTTTTACCATGATAATCAAATTTGCGCCAATTTTCACTATCATTTTCGTAATCAGCGCACCAAAATACGTTAGTATACCAAGTTTTATTAAAATCGGAGGTACCCCTACTTCGGAAGTACACCCAACTTTTCTCACGTTATATGATCATAGTCAAACAATGGTTGACATTGAAGTGCCGTCTCTATCTGTCTCTCTTTCTCTCTCTCTCTCTCTCTCTTACTTCAAGATTTCTATATACATATATAGGTATATGCTTTTTACGACACTATATTATAATAATGATTTAATCAAATTGACCTGGTCTTCTTACATTTTAATTTTCAAAGAGTTCGCCATTTAGTTAATCGAAAAAAAAGTACTTTATTAAAAAAGCTCTTATCAATTTAGAAAATGATCCTTCGATGTGGAGAATTTAATTTTAGTATAGTGGAAAAATATTGTTTTTAAGTATATTCTTTTAAGAATGGGAAATAAAATTTAGAAAAGATGTTTTTGACAAAAAAAAAATCGTGGCTTATAATTAACATTGTAAATAATATTGTTTGTAAGTACCATTGATTTTTTTTGTAGTTTCAATTACTGTAGTTACAATAATATATTTGTAAATTATGGTAGTTATTAATAATAACAATGGTAATTACAATAGTGGTAATTACAACAATAGTGGTTATTTGAAATATGGTTGCTACAACAGTGGTAGTTACAACGATTGTATTTATAACAATGATATTTAAAATAATAGAAATTAAAACAATGGTAGTTACAACAATGGTAGTTACAACAATGGTAGTTACAACAATGGTAGTTACAACAATGGTAGTTACAACAATGGTAGTTGCAACAATGGTAGTTACAACAATGGTAGTTACAACAATGGTAATTACAACTATTGTATTACTGTGACATTGGTGGCTACAAGAGTGGTAGTTACAACAATTGTATTTACAACAGTGGTAGTTACAACACTTGTAGTTACAACACTTGTAGTTACAACAATGGTAATTACAACTATTATATTACTAACAATGGAAACTACAATAGTAGTAGTTACAACGATTGTACTTACAATAATGGTAATTAGAACAATGATAGATACAACAATGGTAGTTACAACAATGGTAGCTACAACAGTGGTACTTGAAACAACTGTAGTAACAACGGTTGTAACTACAATAGTTGTAGTTATTGATAATACCATTGGTATTATCATTACAACAATGGTAGTTACGACAATAGTAGTGCAAACAATTGTAGATACAATAATGGTAGATACAATAATGGAAGATACAATAATGGTTGCTACAACAGTGGTAGTTACAACGATTGTATTAATAACAATGATAATTAAAACAATAGAAATAACAATGGTAGTTACATCAATGGTAATTACAACTATTGTATTACTGTAACATTGGTGGCTACAAGAGTGGTAGTTACAACAATAGAAATTAGAACAATGGTAGTTAAAACAAAGATAGCTATAAGAGTGGTAGTAACAACGATTGTATTTACAACAGTGGTAGTTACAACACTGGTAGTTACAACAATGGTAATTACAACTATTGTATTACTAAAAATGGAAGCTACAATAGTAGTATTTACAATGATTGTATTTACAATAATGGTAATTATAACAATGATAGATACAACAATGGTGTTTACAACACTTGTATAGTTACAACAATGGTACTTAAAACAACTGTAGTAACAACAGTTGTAACTACAATAGTTGTAGTTATTGATAAAACCATTGGTATTATCATTACAACAATGGTAGTTACAACAATAGTAGTGAAAACAATTGTAGATACAATAATGGTAGATATAGTAATGGAAGATAATGGTAGATAATGGTAGATACAATATTAGATACAACGATGGTAGTTACAACAATAGTAGTAAAAACAATTGTAGATTCAATAATGGTAGATATACAATAATGGTAGATACAATAATGGAAGATACAATAATGGTAGATACAACAATGGTAGTTACAACAATGGTAGTTACAACAATGGTAGTTACAACAATAGTAGTTACAACAATAGTAGTTACAACCAATTGTAGATACAACAGTGGCAGATACAACAATACTAGTTACAACAATGATAATTACAATGGTTGTAACTTCAATGGTAATCACAACAATAATAGTTGTAAATAACCCAAATATTTTTGTAACAATATTAAAATAAAGTTTACCCAAAAAAAATCATCATTATTACGTTTATGTATACACACTAAAAATCAATTCTACCCGGAAAAACTTTCTCCAGCGCACAATTTCTTTTGTCCAAAAGTGTGAATACAAACTAATCGT